ATTGTAATGGATTGAGAAGATGAGGCTATGAATCTTGAATCTTAAATTTACTTTGTTAATGATGATGCCTTGGTATAAAAGAAGGCTTGATGAACTAAGATAATGAGATTAGAGGATCGGGTGTCACGTTCCGACACCATGATAGTATATGGATCGGAGTGTCACGTTTTGACACCAGGATAGTATATGGATCGGAGTGTCACGTTCCGACACCAGGATAGTATATGGATCGGAGTGTCACGTTCCGACACCAGGATAGTATATGGATCGGAGTGTCACGTTCCGACACCAGGATAGTATATGGATCAGAGTGTCACGTTCCGACACTAGGATTGTATATGAATCGGAGTGTCGTGTTCCGACACCAGGACAGTAAAGAGAATGAATCTTGAAATATGCTAATATACTCAATCTAAAGAACTAATTCCCAAATGAGTATGGTGTGGAGGCTTGAGTCCTCACAGATGTGATTGGTGTTGTTGCAAATGATTCTTATACGTGTTGTTATCACCTGTTAAGTATTTGGTTGGTTTTATGTTATTATCTGATATATACTGTTTTCTATTTTGAGTTGGCCGATGATACCTACTCAGTACTTGTGTTTTGTACTGACCCCTACTTGTATTGTTTTTCTTTGTTAATTGTGGAGTGCAGCAAACGTGCCATTGTCTTCAACTCAACCGCAACTCTAGTCAGTCTTCATCACACCAGATTTCAGGGTGAGCTAATGCTTCTAGCTTGGACTGGATCTCCTTCTTCATGTCTTGATGCCTTGAAGTTCTGGCATTGAGTAGCTGTTATTATTTTAGTTTCTTAGATACTCTTAGCTTTAGTAAATTGAGGATAGATGTTCTTGTGGTGATGACTTCCAGATTTTGGGGATAATAATAAGTATTGAGTTTTAGAAGTTATTTAATCGATGTTCATTAAAGAGTTTAAGTCTTCCGCATTCTATTCTGTTTATATTGTACTTAATTGTTGGGGTTTAGATTGGTTGGTTCGCTCACATAGTAGGATAAGTGTGGGTGCCACTCGCGGCTCATTTTGGGTCGTGACAGACTCTACTAGATCATTTTAAGTATGAACATGTGCAAAAAGATTTTCAACTATTATTCTAGTGGATAAACAATAATCATTAAATGCTTGATATGTAAACTCACCAACATTATCAAGACGAAGTATCGTTATTGCATAATCTGAAAATTGTGCTTTTAATCTTAATATTTGAGCAAAGAATCTAGCAAAACTCATACTATGAGTTGACAATAAGAACACATGTGAACATCTTGTAGATTCATCTATCAAGATCATATAATATTCAAATGGTTCACATGCAGGGTGAATAGGTCTACATATATCACCCTGTATCCTTTCTAAAAATGCAAGGAATTCCACCCCGACCTTAGCCTATTATGGTTTGATAACCAACTTTCCTTGTGAACAAGCAATAGAAGGGAATTTCTTTGACTGAAGAACATTTTGGTTCTTCAAAGAATGACCATGTGAATTCTCAATCACTTTGCGCATCATATTATAATCAGAATGACCCAACCGATCATACCAAATGATAAAATCATTAGAACCAGTAAATCTTTTGTTTACTACGACATGTGATTCAACTATATGAATATTTATATCGTACAACTCAGAAAAAAGTACATGCAATTTTTCATGTACAGTTTTCTCACCGTATTTATTGTAGTAATATAAAAATATTAAACTTTTCCTTCATTAGCAGTCTCAATTTGGTAGCCATTTTGGCAAATAACTTTTAAACTTAACAAGTTTCTATGAGACATATTAATATACAATGAATTATCAATTACAAATAATGTTTCTCCATTAGTAATAAGGCGCGCTTCTAGAGCCCATTTTCTCTTAGTATCGTATGAGTTGTGACACTATACAGAAGACACACATCTCCCCTACTCATCTTGAGTCCAACTGAAGACTAGAATTTTTTTTATTTATCTTCATCAGAATAAAAATACATAATAAGAAGTACAAGCTTTAATTTTTTTTAAGTACATGAACTTTAAATTAGACATTAAAAACACATAACACATTATTTATTTCTTAGTTCTATTATCAATCTTCAATTGATCCGCAAAGAAGTCCTCAAATTCTAGATGAGTAATATCATCGAGCCCATCAAAAACATCGTCTTTTAATGTTAAATTCGCCTCAACATTCTCATCATATTTTTTAGAAGACCCTGCCTGAGCATCATCTTTGATAGTCAATGTTACTCTACTCGGGCATTTGAAGAGCAGGCGCCGCCTTTATTTCATTTCATTTTAAAGGAATTTTCATACAACTTGACAAAATGCTCGGGTGTTGACATTCATTTTTTCATTGACCTTTTAGGCCACAAAGATGACAGTGATTGTCCTTGCCTTTTAAAGGGTTATTTTTAGAACCCATATGGTTTTCTCTTTTGTTATAACCATCGCCTCGACGATTATTATATCGTCTTAAGCGGGATGGATTTCATGATTTTTCATTAAAAGTTATTATGTTGCTCAGCCACCAGAAGGCATTAGATTAATTCAGAGTATTTTTTTAAAACTTTTTTCATGGTATTGTTGTTGTAATATCAAATTGAAGGCATGGACAGTAGTTAGTGTGAAATTGATATAGAAGAAGATTTAGAGATAATACAAGAAAGACTAAGCACATAAAAAAGAATAAATAATAATGATATACCACAAACATCATAAAAAATGAGTACTTCAAATAGTTCCAAAAGAATAAATATAATTTCACAAAAAATAATAGAAGAAGAAATAAAACCACAACATTATTATATAACAGGAATAATGGAGCAAAGAAAATATTTAATACTAATAAATACAGGATAAGAAGAAAGTTATATTACGAGAGAGTTAGTTATGGAAGATAAGAACACTCATGTTCAGAATTACCAAAAGTATTAATAAATATTGAAGAAATAACGGAACAAGAAATAATAATTGGAGGTACACCAATGACAATAAAATTTAAGATATATCAAGGAAATGAAAATATAACATTAGGAATAAAATGGCTAGAACAAGTAAAACCATATAATATAGAGGATAAACAACTAACGATAAATTATCAAAATAAAAAGGTCATAATAAAAAGGAACATTAATATAAAAAAATATATGAAAATATATATACTCGCGAAGATAATAATAGAAGGATATTATAACAGATATTATACACCAATGATAGATACAGGATCAGAGGCTAATATATGTAAATACAATTGTTTACCAGAAGAAAAATGGGAAAAGTTAAAAACACCAATAGTAGTAACAAGATTTAATAATGAAGGAAGTATGATCACATACAAGGCAAAAAATATAAAAATACAAATATGGGATAAAATATTAGTTGTAGACGAAATATATAATTTTGAATTAACAACAAAGGATATGTTATTAGGAATGTCATTTTTAGAAAAATTATATCCACATATAATAACAAAAACACACTGGTGGTTCACAACATCATGTAAACAAAAAATAGGAGCAAGAAGAGTAGGTAACAAAAGAAGAAAAACAACAGAATGGATTAAAGGCAGTGAAAAAATTACACAAAAATTAGAAAATATAAAAGAAGAAGACCCTAGAATAGAATTAATTATATTTTCCTTAGATAAAGTAAAAATAATCCAAGAAAAATAAAAATTATTATATGACGAAGATTCTTTACAAGGATAGGAAAAACATAAAACAGAAGTTAAAATTGAACTGATTGATGAAAATAGTATAATAACACAAAAACCATTAAAATATAATTTTAATGACTTAAATGAATTTAAAATACATATAACTGAATTACTAAAAAATGGATATAAACAAGAAAGTAATAGTAAACATACAAGCCCGACATTTATTGTTAGTAAATATAGTGAACAAAAAAGAGGAAAAAGTAGAATGGTAATTGATAATAGAAATTTAAATGCAAAAACTAAAACATATAATTATCCAATACCAAATAAAATATTAAAGATAAGAGAAATACAAGGATATAATTACTTTAGTAAATTTGATTGTAAATCAGGATTTTATCATTTAATGTTAGAAGACGAATCTAAAAGACTTACAACATTCATAGTACCACAAGGATTTTATGAATGGAATGTATTACCATTTGGATACAAAAATGCACCAGGTAGATTTCAACATTTTATGGATAACTATTTTAAACAACTAGAAAATTGTGTAGTTTATATTGATGATATATTATTATATTCTAAAACACAAGATGAACACATAAGATTATTAGAAAAATTTATACAACACTCAGAAATAAGTTAAAGTAAAAAGAAAGCAGAAATAATGAAAAAACAAATAGAATTCCTAAGAATACAAATAGATAAAAATGGAATAAAAATGCAAACGCATATAGTACCAAAAATAATAACCTCGAATGAACAATTAGATACAAAAAAGAAATTACAAACCTTTTTAGGATTAGTTAACCAAGTAAGAGAATATATACCAAAATTAGTAGAAAATTTAAAACCATTACAACAAAAACTAAAGAAAGATGTAGAATTTCATTTTGATAATAGAGATCAAACACTAATACAAAAGATAAAATTATTATGTAAAACATTACCAAAATTATATTTTTCGGATGAAGATAAAAAATTTATTTATATAGTAGAAACTGATGCAAGTGAAAAATGTTATGGAGGAGTATTAAAATATAAATATAATGATAATAATATAGAATATCACTGTAGATATTTTTCAGGCACATATACAAATACGAAAATAAAATGGGAAATAAATAGGAAAGAATTATTTTCAATATATAAATGTTTATTAGCATTTGAGCCATATATTGTATATAACAAATTTATTGTAAGAACAGATAATACACAAGTAAAATGGTGGTTAACCAGAAAAATACAAGATTCAATAACAATGAAAGAAATTAGAAGATTGGTATTAAATATATTAAACTTTACATTTACAATTCAAGTGATAAAGTCTAATAAGAATGGTGTTGCAGACTACTTATCAATACAAAGCTATTAAGACTGAGAACAAAGATGAAGATACAATAGAAAAGCTACCCAAAGCCATTACTATACTTTGTACTCAAGTGGATGGTATGGACAGTGAGATACAAAAGCTAAAGACTAATGAAGATAACCTGAAGTCTAAAGCTAATATAAGTCAGCAACATGACTGTAAAAATGTGGAGCTACGTCGATCGGAAGACGGTAAAATTCCAGATATAAAAGGAGACGATGGGAAACCCCCTAAAACCAATAATGTTTGTTTAAATACAGATGCAGGTACAAGCAGAAAAGTTAGTTAAAAACCACGAAATACAAATTTAAACCAGTTATTTGCAAAACCATTTATTCAAAATACACCAAAACAAATACCCATAGAACCACAAACTCTACCTATGCAGTGACTATACAAAACCAGAGTGAAAAGGAAAGATACAATTATATTACACAAACCTACATTGAAAATATATATAAAATCCAAACTTATTTAAATCTCAACCCCAGATCTAACCAAACTAAAGATCCAAGTCAAGACTATATAACTCAAAAATTACAAGGATACAAAAGACTTATAGCACAACCAAAAAGTAGTGCTAATCTAGTTAAGACATGTTACAGTTATGGATTACTAAGTACAATATATACATATGACGGAGAAGAAATCAGTGGAATACCAGAGTTATACAAAGCATTTATTACATATAAAAGAGTTACAAAATGAAACTTATTTTATATTAAGTTTTCTAAGCACCAGTAGGAATATTATATGAGGAGGTAAAATCTCCAATTCAAGTAACTAAGATAGTATTAACAAAAGATATGATCATACCAGAAGATATTGAACATCAGAACGAAATACCAAAGATACAGTACCAAGTTTTTATGTCAATAAAAGAATAATTGGTATATCAACTATCATACAAGAATTAACAAATAATTATTTAAATGGAAATGCCATATGGAGCTATTATGCTAGAGATCAAGTTGTGATATATTCAAACTCAAGGGAATTAAGAAGAGCAGATATGGATGAAGTTCAGCGATGAGTTTTATCATTACTAAATCCAGAGGAACAACCTACAACACGAGCATTAAAGAAAGAATTTATTTCAGAAGACTTATTAATTAGATATTGTAAACTTATCGGATACAAATACCCAGATCACAGATGTTCCAAATGAAATGAAGAAGATAACGTTATATCAGATGTTGATTTGGAATAAATATGAAGAGATAAGAATGCAAAATAAGATAAAAAAAAGAGTTATGGTAGACAAAGAAAAATGACGACAAAGACAAAAGAAGAGAGATAAGAATGCAAAATAAGATTAAAAAAAAGAGTTATAGTAGACAAAGAAAATTGACGACAAAGACAAAAGAAGAAAAAGACATAAAGATAGATATAGACAAAAAAGATGGAAGACAAAGGGATAAGATATCTTTGAAAAAATGTAAAAATAAGAGATAAGATTCCTTTGTATAGTAAATAGCTTTTACTTTTTTGAAAGGCCAATGTGTATAGCCGTCCATTTGAAAAGTTTTGTTTAAAAAGTCGTAAAGCATACAGTAGGCGCACTTATGTGCAGGTTTAGAATTTAGTATATATAGATTGCCAAAATGTAAATGAAAGGCAGGCAATGCCAAATAAAAGCTGAAGTTGATAAAAACCCTTTCAAAACCCTCTCTCAAGATAAAAACTAAGTTAAAAAATGGAGAAATCCGAAATCAAGTCAGATATTTTAGATAGCATGAAAAATCAAGAGACAAAGGTATATTGTTTAACAATTATGCAGAACTAATTTCATATATTCCTGAATATCATATATATGATTGATTAAATTTATGTTAGTTATTATATACTAGAAGTTGGGGGGTGCGGAATTCATCATAAAGTAAGATATATATTTTATAGAGTATAATATAATGATGGGGGGGGGGGGGGTGCGGAAGTCATCATAAAGTAAGATTTATATTTTATAGAGTAAAATATATTTTATCTAGAGTAAAATATATTTTATCATAAAGTTCTCTTGATAACTGTTCTTATCTAAATATTTCTTTAATATTATTTATTATATACTCTATGTATAACATATCTTGGGTTCTTTGGTACATGTATAAATTTTCTTGCATTAATTGTTTTAAATACAACAGAATTATACTCAATTATGATTTTATAATATTCAAATCATAAGTGCATCCACTAATAACGATCCATTGGCAATACCGTTGCCTTAAGGTGATCATACCTCCTTTTCAAATTTATCCACAATTCAAGTGGATCTTTCACTATTAGTATTCAATCTTCATGCTTTTATTAAGATGATAACAAAGGAAAATCATAGCCTTCGCTTTATCTTGACTTTGATGCTTCATTTCCTTCAATTATACAATCATCCAGACCTTTAGCGGTAAGGTGAAGTTCAGCATCAAGTACCCATGACAAATAGTTTTTTCCAGAAAGTTAAAGTGCCACAAATTCAAGCTTTGACAAATTCGTCATGATGAAAACTATCATAAAATAGTTGAGTCAATAACATGATGTTGATTTCTTTATTATAAAAGATAAATTTATGCTTCAAATGATTAAGAATTAGTATAAAGTATATGATATGTATAAACATGGAATGCTACAAAATTATATAAACTCATAAAGTATGAAACGGTAGATTTATTATATGTTCTAATTATTTTTTAATATTTATTTCTAGTTTCAATAGTTATAGATGTCAAAAGTTTGTATGTTTTTCAAGTCATATTTAATATAATACTACTTTCTTTATGACATACAAATACTTATCATAAATTTATGGCAAGAAAATATTTACAAGTCTTCTAATTAGCATGTTTTCACATTTCCTACTATTTAATTCAGAATACAAGTTACTAGCATATAAGCAACATAAAAATATAAATCTGAAACATATTGATTATTATGACTAGTAAAGTATTATAATAATACCTAAAGCCAGTTATATACGCAGTAATTAAATTAGAGATAAAATTTATGCAAGTCCTATTAGAGATGTTATAAACAAATAAATGTATACCTGACTTTAAAAGTAAGTTGATTAACTTTTAGGAATTAATTTTGAATTAAGTAGGTCTCAGTTGGTTAGAGACTCGTGTTGATAACGTGTTAGTAAAACAAGAAAGAAATGCAAGAATACTTAACCAAGAAAGGAAGACAAAGTATGATTGGGAAGTATAAAGTTGAAAGCCTTATTTTAATCTCTTCAATTGTTTTCTTTCACAAGGGTGAAGCATACCCTTTTATGGATGAAGAAATCACTCATTTACAATATCAAGAAAATATATTAGAAGCTCATTAATTGATACACTAAATGGGACATTACGTAACGTATAGAATGGAAAGAAACATCCATACGATTAAATGAAATTGTAACAGATTTAATGAAAATAAATAAATTGTGATAATGAGCAATAATAACTCATTAACGGTTGTTCATAAAGAATGATTATACGAAAGTTATTAACTATTTATAGCAACACTGAAATATTAGTCATGTAATAAAGAATCATTAACAAAGATATTAGATAATGAATATTAGAAAATAATATAAACACTTCTTTTTGAGATACTAGAATTATTTTTTCACTAAATTATGCTCCTCGAAGTTGCGGATGGCCATTCTAGGCGGAACACTAGACTTTCCTAATGAGAACAAGGAAGGAAAGCCAGAGTTATTTGTAAAATAATAATAGTATATATGCCAATAAGCTAACTTTTCGAATAGTAACATCATGTGTGATTCTGATGAAAATTCTACAACATCACAACAAGTCCTTTAGAGCTTGGTTTGTCTAAGTAGGAAATAATAACATCAGCATAATGTTAATGACACTTTTTTTTTTCTGATGCTTATTCATTGTATAGGAAAAGTCTCGGACAAGAAAAATACATTATCGAGAAAAAAAAGGCACGACCTTATTATTATTAGAGTAATAGTCAAAACGTCTAGTATCACTGAGAACGACCATTGTCTCAGAGAGTGCATCCATTTTTATTTGCGAATTGCCTTTTCATTTTGAAAGTGGAACATCTTACCAGTCAGTTGCCTTTTCACGTTTGCATGAGGTAACTGTGATTTCTTTTGTTTTTCGACATTTTAAATTCAATCAATGTAACTCTTTAATCTATTTACTCTACTTGTCTTTCATTTATAACCTAACATACACGATAGATATTATTTTTTTCTGCATTTATCTACTTGTCTAATTTTCTTTCTTACATTCTTCGTTTTCATTACTTATAAAATACCTATGACTCTACTTATGGTGTTTGTATAATAATAACATGGAAATTTGTATTTATATCATACACTAAGACGATTCATGTGTACTTTTGTCAATTTTATTTAATCAAAGGTCAAGTGTGGTCAATAGATTTCACTTTACTTTACTTATATTGTATCGTCATATCAATATCATATCATGTATCATATATTATTAAAGGTATGATGAAGGCTCAAAGGGCAAAATGAAATTATCATTTTACCTTTTAACTAAATTGAGATGTCATTTAATATTTAGTTAATTAAATAATACTAATAAAAATTTCTATAATATTTTGAGTTGGTATACATGTGAGTGAATTAAATAGAATAAATTAAAAATAATAATTATCACTTTAAATAGATATATGTACTGTTTCATCTTTCAAATTAATTTATGTTCTTAATTAATCTATTTGTCTTTAATTTGTTGTAATGCTTGGCCTTTCAACTTTGTGAGTGGATCATCATATTCCAAAGCTATCGTCATTATGAATTATTATACTTTTTGCCTCTTATATTTTAAATATTTGTAAAGACTTATTCTTACATGTGCTTGAGGATAAAATATATATATTTTTAGACTGTTTTTATCAAATTAATAAAGAGATCTAAATCCCCCCCAAAAATAATATACCAAAATTCTTATTAAGTTAGAAGATCTTTTAACCTCCACCAAAATATTACTCTTATTATATTTTTGATATAGATATAAAATATATTTTTAAAAAATTTCATTATAAAAATATTTAATATCCTCATTTTGGGTCTCAACTAAATTAAAATTTGATTTATTAAATTAAATCTTAATATTGAATTATATAATGATTAAATATCAACAATTGCAGTTTAATGCTTTAGTTGTTACCTTCTAATTAAGTTTCCTTAGTTATAAATTTTAAATACTTCCTCTGTCCCTAATTAGAGTCTACTGTTTGTTTAGTTATCTCTAATTATTTATTCGATTTGACAAATCAAGAAAGGATAACTTTTTTTACCTATCATACCCTCAATTAATTACTTTGGAAAATGTACAATTCCTTGAAAATCTTATGTTTTTAATTCATCCACTCCATAATTAATAGGGGTTAAATAGTAAACTCACTATGTCAATTAATATTTTCTTAATAGGTATGCCAATTTAAAAGTGGACAAGCAACTAGGGACACATGAAATATTTAATAATTGGGTTAAACTTAATGAGAAGGACAATGTCATCTTCTAGTAATTAATGTCAATAATTTATCTTCTTAAAATGTGTATTTAGTAACTATTAATTTAATTTTAATATTTTTACTCTATTCTACGAGACATCAAATTTGAGATAAGAAAGACATATTAAGAAAATTAATCATATTGCAGTGCGCCTCTATATTTATTTTTTCTACTTTATTTTTGTCTTCTAAAACAAATATAAAACTTATATATGGAATTTATAATATGGGGAGGACTAAATGTAGAAAAAAGTTTCTCCTCTGTAAGTTAACTATACAAATGAATAATATTTGTGTTTTACTTTTCATGCTTTTATTACAATTCAAATGTTACTTTTCCAAAAAAAAAAATTGTAACTTTTTAATTGTTTATAGCAATTATGGGTGGAAGCGATTTTTTAAGAGAAGAATCATCAAGGGCATCCCTATATTTTTATGTATGTCAATAGGAACTTCGATGGATTGATTTGTTGGTGCTGCCTCAGCATAGGGAAAAGGAAAAGGACAGGTTGTTTCAAGCTACGAAGTCCGGTGAATCCCGAGAGGAGATGCTTCATACAGGTGTGGAAGGGCTTCACATCGAACGAGTTAAATAAGACTTCAAAATAGACGTGACTAATGCAATAAGTAGACAAATAGCGCGAGAGAATAAGAGAGAGAGTGGAGAGTAAGTAGCTTTTTTAGCTTGTTTATTACTGAGGGAGAAGCCCTCTATTTATACAACATTTTTACACATTAGGCCAACAGAAATGGCCGACACTAACTTTACACTTGGCCTATATTAATTCGGCCGACACAAAACGACAAACTACTAGTGGCCTTTTAATTTATTACTTGCCGACATAACTTTACATATGGCCATCTTATCTTCTGGCCGACACTTCACGACAAACTACTTTAATAAAGACATAAAGATAATATTATAAAAATACTTTTTTTTTCAAATTTACTAAAATAGTTATATCCTTGTATTTGTCTTATTTTTAGTATTTTATTTGGTATTAGGTAATTGTATGTTTTAGTTTTAGCATTTAGATTACGATAATCTATGACCATTCTACTTTTACCTCTTTTTTGTTCACTATGTTTTATAACTATAAATGCTGGACTTGTATGTTTACTATTACTTTCTTGTATGTAATTATTTTCTAATAGTTCATCTATATGTATTTTGAATTCTTTTAAATCATCAAAGTTATATTTTAATGGTTTCTGTGTTATTATACTATTTTCATCTATTAGTTCAATTTTTACTTTTGTCTTATGTTTTTCTCATCCTTGTAATGGATCTTCATTGTATAGTTATTCTAGTTGTTCATTAATTAATCTGACTTTGTCTATTGTAAATATGATAATTTCTAATTGTGTTATTTGTTTCTTATTTATATTTTCCATTTCTTGGTTTATTTTTTCACTTCTTTTTATCCATTCCATAGGTTTTCGTTGTTTATTATTTACTCTTTTTTCTCCTATCTTATTTTCGCATGGTGTAGTAAACCACCAATGTGTTTTTGTTATTATGTGCGGATAAAATCTATCTAAAAATGGCATTCCTAATAACATATCTTTTGTTGTAAATTCAAAATTGTACATTTCTTCTATTGTCAATATTTTATCCCATATTTGTATTTTTATATTTTTTGCTCTGTTTTTAATCATACTTCCTTCATTATTAAATCCTATTACTACCATTGGTGTTTTTAATTTTTCCCATTTATCTTCTAGTAAGCAACATATGTTTGTTTCTCCTCATGTATCTATCATAGGGGTATAATATCTGTTGTGATATCCTTCTACAATAATTTTTGCAAGTATATATATTTTCATTATTCATTTTGTTGTTTTTATAATTACTTTCTTATTTTGGCAAATTATTGTTAATTGTTCATTTTCTATATTGTATGGTTTAATTTTTTCTAACCATTTTATTCCTAATGTAACATTTTGATCTTCATTGTAAATTTTAAATGGTATAATTAAAGGTATTTCTCCTATAATTACTTCTTTCTCTGTTATTTCTTCATTTTTATTTACTATCTCGCTAGGTAGTCCAGGGCATAAGTGTCCTGTTTTTATGATTTCTGTTTCCAATACTAATTCTATTGCTATGTAATTTTCTTCTTGTCCTGTATTTATTAAAATTTTATATCTTCTTTGATCTATTATTCCTGTTATAAAATAATGGTATGGCGTTATATCTTCTATTAAATTTTTTGGAATTTCATAGTTTCTTCTAGATGTTCTCTTTCCTTTTATTTGTTCAAATATTGTATTATCAAATATATTTTGTTCTGATAATTCTTCATTTTGATAATCTTCTTTAGATATTATTTTTATATCATCTTCAGACATTATATTTCTTCATCTGTTTCATTATTATCTAGATTAATATTATCTTCTTCATTTTTAGTTTTTATATCTGGTACTTCATATATACTATCGTTTTCACTTAATTCATAATCTATATATTCTATTTGCACATATTCATCATTATCTATGATTATTTCTGCAATCTGTTTTCTTTTTGGATCTTTGGGTAATTTACAATCTCTAGCTAAATGTCCTAGTTTCCGCAATTATAACAAGTACATTGGGATAATTTTCTTTTTGATCTATATGGTCTTTTTATTTTTTTACATAATATCTTTGTCTTGGTTTGTTATATTTATACTTGGTTTTAGTTTTTCTATAATTTTTATATTGTCTAGGTTTTCGCTTTTTATAATATTTATTTGTACATCCAAACTGTGGTGTTGTTTTATCTTTACAACATGCTAAATTTTTAATTAGTACTTTCTCCATTTTTAATTTTTCTTTCTGATTTTCACATAGCTGTACAAACCATTGATGTAAGAATTTTATTCTAGCTCCTAAAGTATCTACTAATCCTTCATCATTCCAATCTTTAATTATTTTTGTGCTAAATGGTTCTGGTAATTTTGTAAAATATTGTTGTCTTATTTCTCTTGCTTCATTTATATTGTATTTTGCTTTGTAGTAATATTCTTTAAATGCACATGTATATTCTTCTATGTAACACATTTAACATATCGCTAATTTTGTCATAAGTTGTCTATTTATTATTTTTTCTCTATTTTGTTCTCTTATATCTGTGGTCATACCTCCAAATTCATTTCTTATTGCTGATTTATATTTATCTAGTATATCTATATTTGATGCTGATGGAGATCCATCCATTTTCTTATCACTTCTAAGTACTTCTAAACTTTCTGGGGGTAAATTTTCTATCCATAATTTTGTTGTTCCTACAAATGTTCTTTCTATATATTTCGGCGTTTCTCTCGCTGTTATTTTATTATCAATAAGTTGTTTAGATATATTCCCTATTCATATTAATATTGCTTTATTTATATCTATAACACAATCTAGATCTAAGAAATTATATTGTTCAGTTATTGGTTTAGGTGTCGATTTTTTATTTAATCTGCTATTCCATATTACTTTCGCTCTGTCTGATTGTTCATAATTTTCTGTATAATAAGTTGGTGGTGTCCATTTAGGACTATTATCTGGGGTTTTAACTCCTGATGTGCTAGGTTTATTCATATCTCCTGTGTTTATTTCTAAATTTTTTGTTTATTTACTTGTTCTAGGATTTCTGTGTATGTTTCACTTATATCACTTATTTCTGAATTTTGATCATTTATCGTATCTGATTCATTTACTTCATCTATTTCATTTACTTCAAGGTTTTCCTTTAATTTTTGTTTTATATCATTTATTTCATTAGTTAACTCGAATTCTTTTTGTTTTTATTTTTCTTTTTGTTTAATTTCATATAATAATTTTAACTTAGCTAATTCTTGTTCTAATTCACTTATCGTTGTATTTTTTATTTCTCCTAAATGTTGTACTTCCTGTTTTACTTGTATTTTTATTTTTTCAATTTCTTTTAATTTATCTATTTCTTCATTTTCTTTTGTTATTCTTATCATAGCTGTGAAACTATCTTCTAATTTTGCTGTTTTTTTTTCTAACATTAAATATAAGTTATTTCCTATTTTTTTTATATCTTCTTCCTAAATTTGAAAATATTATTTTTATTATTAGTCCATCTTGGTTTTCATATGTCTTTTCATCTACTGTAAATTCTTCTTTATTCATTATGATTTATGTATTATATTATGTTGTAATCTGTATTCAAGGCAATTTATTTGTAGTTCTATCATAAATATAACTCTTCTTTGTGCTAATATTGATTTATTACATACTCCTGCTAACATATTTTCTATTAATCTTTCTTTCCTATGTTGCAATTCTTGTCTTTTTTCATCTATTTTTTCTATCAATTGTTGCTTATATATTTCTTTGTTCATATTGTTTTTTCAGATAACAAACATATTTATATTTTGTTTTTTAAATTACGCTTATCAAATGATTTGTCTTATCATTACTTGTCTTAGTGAGTTGTTATAGTTCATATTCTATGTATAAATGTTTTAACTTTTTCCATATCTTTCGTACTTTTCTATCTATCCTGCTTTTTGTTATTTTAGTTTCTTTACTTAGTGCTGTATTATTCTTCATGTCTTTAAGAAAATATTTTTTTCTATTAGTCTTTGTCTATGTTCTATTTTTCTATCCATTTATATTTTTCTGTACAAAATTTTAAAAAGTTTACTTAATTTGCTTGGATCTTTAATAAATTTTATCTTATAAATATTATTACTTTGTTTTTGCCAAATTTCAAACCTTTTCAGTTCAATCATTCTTTTATAATTCTAATTCTTTTTTATCATATAGATCTATGTTTTCTTTAGTTTTTACTCAATATTGTAAGTACATATAATTTATTATTAATCTCTGAATATTTCTAGATCATCATACATGTCTATGTCAAAATTATTATCATAAAAATCCTCTTGTATAACTAATTTAGCCCAACCTTGAGTTGTTACTTCTATTATATCATATGTTAATAATATATCATAGATTGTTCTTTTAATATCTGTATTAAGACCTTTTAATATATAGAATATTAATATTTTGTAATTAACATCATCATCTAATAAATAGGAAATTATGGGTGGAAGCGATTTTTTAAGAGAAGAGAGAATAAGAGAGAGAGTGGAGAGTAAGTAGCTTTTTTAGCTTGTTTATTACTGAGGGAGAAACCCTCTATTTATACAACATTTTTACTCATTAGGCCAACAGAAATGGCCGACACTAACTTTACACTTGGCCTATATTAATTCGACCGACACAAAACGACAAACTACTAGTGGCCTTTTACTTTATTACTGGCCGACATAACTTTACATATGACCATCTTATCTTCTGGCCGACACTTCACGACAAACTACTTTAATAAAGACATAAAGATAATATTACAAAAATACTTTTTTTTACTCTTACGGTACGTCTGGAACACAATTATCTTCTCCTTCACATTTTGAGCATAGATGATCAGGATATTTCTTTCCTATTAGCTTGCAATATCTCGTCATTAAATTAAAAGCTAGTTGATGCTTTATTCCCTTAATAATGCCACGTGCGACTATGTTGTCAACAATTCATAATTTCTTGTACATTCATTTTGAATGAGTCCATCTTACATATATGAATCTCAATTATTGTATAGATTGGTGGTAAAATGTAACTACAATTTTTCTCCAAACTTGTATTGAAGAGAAGTTTTTTAATGGAAAAAGTAGACTTAGAAACGTTAAATTGATAGGTCGTAGGTCCTATTAACTCTTTGCGGAATGAGAAATATTCACGTTTATTTGAAATACAAAATTTACTTGAGATGAAATACGATAACAATTATTGACATCCAAATTTGGA